AAGGGCACAGCCATTTTAGATATTTAAAGTGACCGAGGGTGCAGTCACTTTGAATATTTACAAGCTGCAGCTGTTTTGGATTTTAAAGAGATAGTATTCTCATTCAGATTCCAGGGACCTAAGAATAGGCTCTGTTTGCCAAGGTTGGCAGGGATATATGAGAGGCTGACAACAGGAAAGAAGACAGGTGGTGAGTGTGTAAGCGCTGCCCACTAGCAAATAGAGGAGCATAGTACCCTGTTTTGCAGATAACGTACATACAAAACAAAACGAAAATCATGGGCAAGTCACTCCAACATACAATCACCAATTAAATATAAACATAACAACATCACAATGCCTAGGAGACAACAAAGCATCACAGTCCACACAAAGAAGCAAGATAAAGCAGGGGAAATAAGGGTACAGGATACAGACCCAAAACACATTCCTGAGGAAGAGGAAGCATTGGAATTCCCTAATAAGGAATTCAAAAGAATTATATTTAGGTATCTTCAATAAATTGAGAGACAGATCAAGGAAAACACAGAGAAAACTCTAGAACAATTTCAAAAGACAGTACAAAAAAAAATGACAAAATAAATGAAAAATTAGAAATGATATAAAATCTATATACAGAAATCCAAAAGATTAATACTAAATTTTCAGAAATAGATAAAACATTGAATGGGCAAAGGAGGAGACTTGATCAATGGAAGACAGAATTAGGGAGCTTGAAGGCAAATACCTGAACATTTTTTTTTGAAAGATATAAATCAGAAAAAAAGATTAAAAAAAAAATGAAGGAAGTCTAAGGTTCATGTGGGATACCATCAAAAGGAATAACCGACGTGTAATCAGAATTCCAGAACAGGAAGAGACAAATAAAACCACAGAGAAAATTGTCAAAGATTTGTATGACGACAGATGAAAATATATCCACTCAGGACATCCAACGAACCACAAACAGGATAGACCCCAAAAGAAATTCACCAAGACATATCATCATCAAACTCACCAAAACCAAAGACAAAGAAAGAATCCTGAAAGAAGCACAGGAAAAATGAAAAGTTACCTATAAGGGGCAACCAATAAGACTAAGCTCGAGAGAAACCATGCAGGCAATAAGACAATGGGATGGTAAATAAAAAACCTTGTAAGAGAAAAATCTCCAACCAAGAATTATGTACCCAGCAAAAGTGTCCCTCAAATATGACAGTAAAATTAGGACATTTCCAGAGAGGCAGAAATTAAAGGAATTTGTTAAAATCATACCAACCTTACAAGAGATGCTAAAGGAAGTCCTTTGTACAGAGAAGCAACAACAGCAAACAACAATTGACCATTAACACACATGATGATATAACCCAGAAACCAACTCAGCTATGGAAGTATCCAAAGTAAAGAAGCCTACAAGATTGTAATTAGAGAACCAGAGACATCAATTGACAAATGACAACTACAAACCAAAAAGAGGGATAAAACTGTGTCATTACAGAACTTCTAGATGGTAGGGAACTCAAGACAACTACAAGATAAAATGGACTGTTCTAAACTTGGAAAGAAAACTATAAATCAGAAGGTAACCTCAAAGAAAAATTATAAACCCTCACATCAAAAAAGAGGACCAGCATAAATATTCAGAAAATACTAAAACAATAGCAATGAAGGAAGTGGTAACACGATTCATAAACAAAATGAACTCAACATAGAAAATTATATGGAACAAAAAAATAGACACCATGAAAAAGCACTTAACAAAAATGACAGCAATGAATTCATATTTGCCGATAATTATATATCTGGCAAGGGACTTATCTCTAAGATTTACAGCGGAAGAGTGGAAGACCAAAGTATGGTACATATACATAATAGAATGCTATGCAGCACTAAAGAATAATGTAGAGTCTGCAAAACACCACATAATATGGATGAACTTGAAGAACATTGTGCTGAGTGAAATAAGTCAGTCATAGAAGGACAAATATAGTATTAGTTTGTTGTTGTGGACGGTCAAGGAAATGTTCATATATGGAGGCAAACTTTCTTTGTTGGTTGCCAGGGGTGGGAGGGGAGGGAACACTGCCAAAA